GTGCTTCTTGTGGCTCCTTTCTTTGTGTGTCTTGTTTGTTTTCCTTTTAATACAATCGACATAAATGCTAAGGTCTGTAGAATTCAAATTTGAAAGAATTTCATTCTTAATTAATCTTTTCAATCTTTCTTTTGATATGTGACCTTAACATTTGTGCCACAAAAAAGCAGATTGTTCATTCACCATATTTCATTTAATTCCAATATTATGATGCAGAGTTAATAGTGTTTCGACAAATAGATTATCAAGATTCAGTTTGTATAAGTTATCACAAAGAGTACCACTACCAATGAGATAATTATGTTTAAACAAACTACAACATCCATTACTGAAATTAAAAGAGTATCCAGTCTTATCTAAGTTAGATAAAGAAACTAAATTTCTCGAAAGAGAAGGTACATAACAAGTTTTAAGTAAATCTAAGTGATGTCCAATATTAAGGACCAACCAGTAAGTCCTTATAGCTTTAACGGGAGCCTTCATTCTATTTCCCATATACACATATCTTTCATTTTGATTTATGATTAGTGTTGTAAAGAATTGTTGCATCGTATTAGAAACATGAACAGTACAACCAGAGTCAATCCACCAAGTATTATAAGGAATTTCAGTTAAATTTGATTCGAGACATGTAAAAGCACTAGGCTTACCTTTCTTCTCGATCCATGTATTAAATTTCAGGCAATCGTTCTGAAAATGTCCAAATTTTCCACAGAAACGATACTTATCATTCTTGTGTTCCTTCTTATGTACTTGAGAGGAGGACTCATTAACATTATGGTGCCTCTGTTTTTCTTTAGCATGTTTCTTTCCTTTCTTTCCAACTCCTTGATGACTTGCAAAGTTAATGGAATGGGTTCCTTGATACTTGAGCCTTACTTCCTCCTGAACCAATATTACGTGCAATTCATGCACGCTCCATTTGTCTTTCATGGTGTTATAGTTCATTTGAAAAGGGCCATACTCAGACGGTAATGAGTTGATAATGAATTGTACAAGGAATTTTTGTTTCACTTCCATTCCAAAAACTTAAGTCTTGCTGCTAAGTTTGTCATTTCGTTGACATGCTCATGCATGGTACAGAAACCATCAAACTTTATGGTGGTCAAAGTACTCATTGGTGTCCCAACAAGAGACTTATCAGCAGTTTGTGAGAATTCTTTCACAAGTTTCAGAAAATATTTTGCATTTTCAGTTTTGGGAAAATAGTCTTAATGTTGCCTGCAATATTCATTCTCATAAACATTATGCCTAATATGGTAGATCGACCTAGTGTTTATAATATGACACTTCTTCAATAGTGTTGGTTTCAGTAATAGCAGTTGGCATCTCAGTGTAAAGTGCAACATTATAATCTAAAATTCTGAGATGAAATTTGATTTATTCGCACCAATCTAAGAAGTTAAGACCGTTATAGGTCGTAACAGAGATAGAGTGTGAATGAAGAGCAAATGTTGCAAATATAATATGCTCATTTGTTAATACTTTGATAAATTTTAAACATACTATCAAATTCAGAAGTGATTTATAAATTCTTAAATATATATAGATATCCTCCTTGGGATGAAACATCAAAATAAAAGTTCAGACATACATGTGTATTTAATGTAATTCAATAATTTTTAATGTGTCAATCGATGATATTTATTATCTTTGGATAAATAAATAAAACCAATGATTATCTCCTCAATGATCAATGGTTATAAAAATAAAATAATCAACCTTTGGATGATTCATAAATATCTTATAACCAAAAATTTTAATATATTCATAAGTGTTATATCGGTTATAAGCATTAAAATAATGGAGAATTTAATATACTTTTAATCACTATTATTTTGAACTAATTCTTCAAAGATTAGACCACTTTGGTGATTAACTAATCCCATATAAATAATTTCAAAATAAAATTTTTCATAATAGTGAATAATTATTTTACTTAATACTACCCATTACCGCTTCAAATACAGAAAACATTAATCCTATGAAAAATTACTAGTTCTTAAACCAAACTTTGATACAACATGTAAGGATTTAATGGATTGTGATAACATAAAACAATTTAAACATTCATAAATCCTATCAATTATTCAGGATCACAGGACTATATGATTTTCATAAACCTATTACTATAATAATTCAATTAAGAATATATACCCGAATCAATCATTATAATTCTTGACATGAATTAAGCGGAAGTTTTTTCTTGAGTCTTGACAAGGAACTAGCTTTCTTTTCTCTTATATGGGATAGGTTATTCCCTTTTAATAGGTAGAGAGAGGACCAAGCGGTTAGTTACCACTTTCCATCAAAGAAGATAGTGGGGAGTTATAACCGTAATAAACTTTTCATATTTATTCAATTAGAATTTAGTTATTTATTAAATATTAAACCAAAATAATATTAATGTGAGTCATAAAAACTAACACATGTGGGACACAAAACTATTAGAAACTCTTTCTCAAAACTCATCTTTACTAACTCAAAAAAACTCAGTTTAAAACTGAAGTGTTGGCTTTATAAAGCTTCATAAGATTTATAACTCAATTCATAGGGTTCATGCGTAATTATGAACATGAATGACTCAAATCAGGATCTTAATAGCAATATGGAAACTCAGTACTCAGAATTCAATGATACTACTCATTTAAAAAATACTCAAACATAGGGTTCATGATGAAATATAGATGTGAAAGAATCAACTCAAGAATCTTAATGCATAACATATAACAATTCAATAATTCGGAATAGAATATCAAAAAGGAACAGAAACTCGAGAACTCAAAATCAACTCATCTCAAGAATACTCAAATCTAGGGGTGGAATCCTAGATTTCTCTTTTGTTGATTTGAAAATAGATGTAGGGCGTGAGGATGAACAAGTCCAACAGTATGATAGTCTTACATACATGGAAGACAACCTTCTTGAAGAAATTTGAAACAAAATCTTGAAAGATGAACCCTAACCTTAACGTTTCTTGAATTTCTTGAGCGTAGAATTTTATGAGTGAATGAGAGGGTTTGATTTATAAAATTGGGTTTTCTACACGTTTAGGATAATTTAGATGACCTCCTAAGGGTTTTTTAGGACTAAAACACCCTTGAAGAAATAAATAAAACGAGCTATGAGTCGGAATAATTTTCCAGCAGGTAGTGAGATTCGTATTGGCTCCGTAACGTGGAGTCATCCCAAAGCTGCTGCCAGGTATGAGCGTTGTTATCATAACGTTTTACTCAGAGCTTGAGTTTTAGCAAAACTGGTGGCTTTGAATAGAGGACTCAAATACCTTTAATTTGATAGATCATGGGCTACCTAACTCTTTATGTGCTAAAAGATATGATCGTTTGAAGTTGACCAAAACTTAAGAAAATGATGGGTGACTTGAATGATTTTCTCTTTAATTTTTTTTTGGAACTAGAGGTATTACATATAGTGACCTTAACACCTAAGAAAATTTAAAATCACTCGACAAAATTTCTTTCACAATGAAGAAGGATTCGAGTCTTAGCTAAATTTTTTTTGTGTTGTTGTGAAAATAATTGACAAAAATTACATCATAAAAAGGTTAAATTATCTTATATGTGTTGCGTATAGTATATGTTAAATTTTTTAATTTATTCGTGTGTTGATTATTTTTTATATTTTGAAAATCCACTTATCGAAAATTGGGTAATAATTTGTCAGTTAAACAAAAAAGGTGTTGAGATTTGGCCAAAAGTTTGGCAATGTAATATATTTGGAAAAACATGAAATAAGGGTTAGGCTAGAAATTGGCGTCCCAGCTTACCAGAGAAACAATAAAAATTAATTCCTTGTGTGTGTGTATGTATATATATATGGTTATAAATAACTTGAAAGACGACCAAAGATATTTCCAATTACAAAACAACATAAAACGTCGGAGTCATGAGGATGACTTTTTAGGCCAAGGCAGCCGTAACGTAATGAATGATTCATTCATGCCTCTTCCTCTACTATAGAATATAGCATGGGTAGCAAATCTAACTTTACTCTTTCCAATTAAAAGCATAATATATAAACGTTTATTTTAACTTAGTCTCAGTTAATATTTATGTTTGTAAATTTTAAATGTATACAAGTATTTGTATTTGTGTAAAATTGAATAAATAGAACGTTCTATATGAAAATTTGTGTCATGTCATGTAAGACGCATAATAAGTATATTTTGTTCAATTATATACAAGTCTAAGTGTCTACTTGAGCACATCCAGAATTGGAGGTCATTTGGAGGTCATAGATGTCGGTTGAAGCCAAGTTGAAAGACGTATTTATGTACAATATCAAATAAGAAATTACGTAAAAAGTAAAATCATATGAGTATATATTTATAAATGTTTTTTTTTACAAAAATTACGTTTAATTTAGAACTCAAAATGTTTAAATTCAGAATCTGCTAATTAATACTCCTCGACTCCATATCAATTGAATTTGTAAGGTAATACACATATTAAGAAAAATATTCAAGAAAATAATTAAAATCATATTTTTCACTATTATCTTTTATGAAATCATAAATATAACTTTGTAAGTAGGTAATTTTTCTCTTAGAAATATGAAACATTAAATAAATGAAAAAAAATTTAAACATACATTGAACAATTCAATTATTATGACCAATTTAAAACCTCCAAAATTCAGTTAATGTGGAATATAGGATTAAATAATTCTTACAGCCTACCTTCTCAAATCTCAAACATATATAAATTAATAGCCTCATGCTTCTCCATCTCCTACTATATATATTCACTAATACTAATTAATCAACCATCGTTTCAAGTGCTCTTCCTTGTACGTCTCTCATGCAAAAATTGACACAATTTGGTAAGCCCTTTCATATGATTTTGGTTTTATCAAATCAAGTTTCAACAAAGTAGAACATGTCTTTTAAAAAAAAAAAAAAAAAAAAAAAAAAGATATATTAGTACTTGAGGCAATTCAATTTTCTTAATTAGTAATTTCTTCCTACCATTCCTTGCAAGATTTTCTAGTGAATTTAGTTTTCTTTATATCGAGGAACGAACAACTATTAGATTTGGTGCATCTCGATTAATTCACCAGGTATATGATATTTGCTATCACCACGGATATTAAATTCTACCAAAGTTTAGACAGATTAAAGAAAAAAAACCCTATAATTTTGGATCTCTTATTGAATTTTGGACACTCACAACGACGTGCGGTATATGTGTTTTTGTGAATAATTTATGTATATGCAGATGATGAAATCCGTCCGAGCGTACTTGAATAGTCCAATGGGTCCTAAAACAACTCACTTTTGGGGTCCTATGGCCAATTGGGGATTTGTAATCTCTGTATGTACCCTTTCCTATATATATATATATATATATATATATCATCATTTTATATCATATATATCTATCGATGATCATCGATCTTACTATAAAAGTTGGACAAAAATTCCTGAAATTAATTTTGACAAATGATTGTGTTAGGGAATGATGGATACAAAAAAGACCCCAGACGCAATATCTGGCAACATGACTGCAGGTGAGTTAGCTATAACATATACTCTCTCCATTTTATTTTATATGATTTTATTTAACTTGATATAATAGTTAAGATAAGATTTTTGAAATTTATGAATTAAAACAATAATTGTATCATTTTATTAAGAAAAAGAAGAAATTTTAGAATTAAAATATTTCTTATCATAAATAAAATGACATTCTTTTTGGAATAATTTTTTTTTAAAATAAAGGATATCTTGTAATTTATGAGACGAAGGATCACACAATGCAAAATTACATTGATCACGTTAAAGCTAGGTAGGGCCGAAGAAATTAGGTAAATTTCTTCGATAGAAAATTATACTCTTATTTACATATAAATAAAAATATGTTTCTTCTTTATATATTTACTTATTTATGGCAAATTCAGGTTTCACCCCTAAATAGAAAATGTCAGAATTCAAACTTTAGGCCTATGTTTTTAACTATTGTAAATTCAATTGTGACATGTCACATGTAAGTGTGAATGAAACGGATATACAGTATTAAAATATCTATAGAATATTGTTGATATATATATATATAAAGGGCTAATTCATTGATAGCCATTTAAAGTTGACATAAATTTTTATTTAGACATTTTAATTAGATTTTGTTTATTCTAAATATTTCATATTATATTTTATTGTGTTGATTTGATACTTTTTGCTGACTTGATATGTTGTGTGTGTTGCACGCATCTTGAGCGCATGAGAATTTTTTTATTTTCCTTCTTCTTCTTCACTCTTTATTCCTACCACTTATTTTACCTTTTCACCATGCAAAATCATGATAAAAACCTTATAAAATATGAAAAAGTAAAATAAAAAACTATCGCACTAATTTCAAAAACAATTATAAGAACAAAATTATCAAAAATCATCAGACTAACTTTTCTTTAAAAAAAATTAGAACAAAACACACATTTTTTCCAAAAAAATAAATAGAAGAAGAAATGTGGTATATGGTTCTCAAAATCAAATTCACAACAAAAAAAAAAGAAGAAAAAAAACGAAAAAATCTAATGAATTTTTTTAAAGAAAAAATGGATGAAGAACCAAAATTAGGCGGGAGGTTGGGGAGGTATAAGGGACAGAAGTAAGGTGGATCGGTCGGGGTGGGATGGGATGGGACGGTAGAAAATAGGTAATTTTATTTATTTATTTTTATTGAAATATTAATTATTTTTTAATATTTTATTTTAAAATTATTATTTTTACATTCAAATGTCATACATTAACTTTTTTTTTCAATTAGTCATTATGGCATTTCATCTGCAAGTGTACTATACACTTTGTAATTTCAGCTGATTAACGAAAAAAATATTAAAATGACACAGTAAAATCTTACTTGAGGTATTTAAAATGAACAAAGTCTACTTGAAAAGTGTAAGTAAAAATTGATGTCAATTTTATCAATGGATTACGCCGTATATAAATAAATATTATTGTGTGTTTGGTTGCAGTGTTGTGTATATATTCGATGTTGTGTATGAGATTTGCATGGATGGTGAGGCCTCGAAATTATATGCTGCTAGCTTGCCATGCTGCTAATGAATCTGTACAACTCTACCAAATTTCCCGTTGGCTTCGCTATAGGTTTCATTACTCACTTTCACATTTTTATATTTTTGATTGCTCGTTCATTTTTTTTTTTAAAAAAGCTTTTTTAATTAATTTTTTTGGTAAATCATGAAAGGATATTTTATTTTATCTATTATATTCTCAATTAATTGCTTTGAGAAAGGTAATTTTTTTTGAAAATCTTAAAGGTTTTAAATTATCAAATTTGATAATTAATAAAGATTAAAGATCAAATTATAAACTCAATATGTCAATAATTATTTTCTTAATAAATATATTATTTTAAAAGTGGACAAATAGTTAAGAACAAGAGAATATTATCTTGATAATCATGAAAACATAATAATAATTTAATTTATTTTTTTTATCATTTTTAGGAACCTCCAACCAAAGGAAAAGGCAGCGGCTTCTGATTAGTTACTAAATAGCACGGATTTAAGTATTATTTTTGTAATAATTGATGTAACATTAAAATTTGAAGAGATAATCAAAATTCTAATATGATTTTCAAATATTTTAAGTTATTAATTATTATGGTTTATGATACTTTACGTAAATTAATAATTTTCTTTTTCTATCTGGCACTGATAGAATTCAAGAGTCAACTTAGTTTTTATGTCTTTAAAAATTTTAAGTTGTAATTACTATCATTTATAATATATTTAATGTCATTTTCAAATAATATATATTATCTTAATTTATGTAGCAATAATAAAATTTTAAAAGACAATCTGTTATAAATTCATTGAATGAGTGGATAGTCCATAAGGTTGGTACATGAACAACCATTCATATTCACTAGGTTACATGAACCTTTTTGGATAAGAATGTATCTATTTATTATGATACTTAATATGGTGACCTTTGGAGTGATTTCTCACTCTATAAATAGGGTTGTTCATTCACTATTGTAACAGATACATATGAGATTTGCATACACTTGAATAAGAAGAAAGTCTTATCTTCCATCTTACTCCTCTTGTCTTCATCTCTTTATATTTATATTGCCATGAGCTTGATTTTATAACACGTTATCAGCACGAGTCTCTAGCCAATTGAGATTGAGTTTTAGTTTTACTTTAACTCATGTTTTGGTTGATCTCGTTATGAAGATCAAAGTATTATATGCATAAAATCAGGTATGTATTTTCTAGAATATTTTTATGATTTAGAATAAAATAGTATTCAGTCACTAACAATTATCAGGAACCGAAGACATATACTACTATTGGTTGAATATGACATGCTATACACAATTTCTTAAATAGAAGAAGGTATAAAATTTTAATAGCATGAATTTGAATGTTATTTTGATTGTTTTGAAAGACTCAAAGGATGAGTCATGTTGTACTTCGATTTATTATACCGTTGGTTAAGGGTAAGACATCAGGTAAAAGTCCGGATGCATCATAATAAAAATATTTGAGGATAAGACGATAGATTCAAGTTCTATCGCACCAAAAGGGTAAGACATCAATTTGAGATTTGATGCACCGTGATTGGGTTCAAGTCCCATAGAATTATGGCGTAAAACGCCTTATATGGATAAGACATTGAGTTTGAGTCAATGCACCATAATGATGATATAATGATGACTAGGCTTTGATGAAAAGTCTTGAAATTCGTTCTATTGAATTTGCTTCATTCCTTGAAAAGAATGTGGTAGCAACATGTAATAACTCTGAAATCCGCCTGTTAACTTGCTCCATTCAATCATACGAATGTGGTAGCAGTGAATGTTAGTCTGAAAGATGACAAATGATTAATGATATGAATAAGGGCGTGGAGGGACATAATTATAATAGTTATCATTGTGGTAATGATAAAAGGAAGAACACTATGGGTTCTCCAAATAGTCCTTCAAAATGTGAAGGCAGTTTTCATTATCAAAATGGTATGAAAGGACATTGGACTTGTGAATGTTATCGACCCAATAATTTATAAATCCTCCATCAAAAGACAAGAAGATAAAGTGATGGTACACTTGATCTTTCAAAGTGATGTTGAGGTGTGTCATGGAAATATGATGAATTTTAAAGCCATGACAATGTGCTTATAATGCAATTATCTTTGATATGAGGTAACGCTCAATGATATAAATTGTGATGAGGATCTTGAATTCAAATCTGTCATATAGTGTGAACAGATAAATGGTTGGCCAAGTAAAATGCACAATTCAAGTATATTTTGTTTCACTTAGAAAAGTGACATTTTGGACTGGTAGTCCATAAATCAAGGTATAATGTCAGTGGGGTACAAATAAATTATTATACGATAGTATAACTGTAAGATATTAAATACGATTTGTGCCTTGGGGCATAAAGGTTTATCGCAAAAATCCTGACATTAGTGGAGATGTTTTCTCCTTTGGTGGATGAAATGAGGTTTGTTTTGATCTGGCAACATATGAAAACTTGAATGCATGTAAATGAATAATTTTAATGTCTAGCTAGACAATGAAGGTTATATGAAAATCCTTGAAACAATCGAGGTGTCTGAAGCATATAAGAGTTTGAAAGAAACTTTTCCAATAAAGCTTCAAGAATCCTTATATGGATTGAAATAGTCAAGGAAGAAAAAAGGTACAAAAGAATGACCCTAATTGTCCTTGTATTTTTATGAAAAGGTCTTGGTAAGACAAAATTTTGTCTTGACCTACAGATTGATAATTTGACAAATGAAATATTTGTCTAACAGTGCACATACACTGAAAAGTTTCGATGCAAATTTATATGGATAAATCGCATTCATTGAGTACCCCAATGATTATGAGATCACTTGAAAAAAAATGATGATTCAGTTTGATCTCTAAAGAAGGATGAAGAGTTTCTTGGTGATGAAACTTTATCTTGGTGCAATCAGGGCACTAGTGCATCTTACTAACAATATTTGACTAGATGTTTGTTTTGCAGTAAATTTACTGGCAAGATTCAGTTTCTCCCCGATAAAGGACATTGAAATGGTGTTGAACACATGATTGAATATTCTCAAAGGACCATAGTTATGGGCTTATTCTATTCCGAGGAATCCAAAACAAAATTGATTGGTTACGCAGATGCAGAATATTTATCTGATCCGCATAAAGCTCTATCTCAACCACGCTATGTGTATTCATGTGGAGGCACAATAATATCCCGGTGATCAATGAAGCAAACAAATGTTGCTATGCAGAAATGAAAGTCCTCCATGAAGCAAGTTGAAAGTGTGTTTGGTTGAGATAAATGACGCACCATATTCAAGAAATGTGTGGTTTTTCTTTAAAAAAGAATATACCAACCACAATGTACGAAGATTGGAGACATCATCACAAGAAATTAAGTGATGTTTAAATCAGGGGGAGTACAATACGCGTTGCACTCTTTTTCCCTTGATCGAGGTTTTTTCCCACTGGATTTTCCTGACAAGGTTTTTAATGAGGCAACAAATGGTGCGTATCAAAAGATATGTGTACTCTTTTTCCTTCACTAGAATTTTTTCCCACAGGGTTTTTCCTAGTAAGGTTTTTAACGAGGCACATTATCTATGGACATCCAAGGGAGAGTGTTATAAATTCATTGAATGAGTGGATAGTCCATAAGGTTGGTACATGAACAACCATTCATATTCACTAGGTTACATGAACCTTTTTGGATAAGAATGTATCTATTTATTATGATACTTAATATGGTGACCTTTGGAGTGATTTCTCACTCTATAAAAAGAATATACCAACCACAATGTACGAAGATTGGAGACATCATCACAAGAAATTAAGTGATGTTTAAATCAGGGGGAGTACAATACGCGTTGCACTCTTTTTCCCTTGATCGAGGTTTTTTCCCACTGGATTTTCCTGACAAGGTTTTTAATGAGGCAACAAATGGTGCGTATCAAAAGATATGTGTACTCTTTTTCCTTCACTAGAATTTTTTCCCACAGGGTTTTTCCTAGTAAGGTTTTTAACGAGGCACATTATCTATGGACATCCAAGGGAGAGTGTTATAAATTCATTGAATGAGTGGATAGTCCATAAGGTTGGTACATGAACAACCATTCATATTCACTAGGTTACATGAACCTTTTTGGATAAGAATGTATCTATTTATTATGATACTTAATATGGTGACCTTTGGAGTGATTTCTCACTCTATAAATAGGGTTGTTCATTCACTATTGTAACAGATACATATGAGATTTGCATACACTTGAATAAGAAGAAAGTCTTATCTTCCATCTTACTCCTCTTGTCTTTATCTCTTTATATTTATATTGCCATGAGCTTGATTTTATAACACAATCATAATTTTTAAATATTTTAAATTATTAATTTTTTTGATACCTTTTACATAATTTTAAAATAATGTATGTTACTCCCTTATTCAAATGTATGTTGCCCCTATAAAAATTCGAGAATCATTTAAAAAACTTGTGTCTTTTAAATTTTTAAAATGTTTGTTACTATGATCTACATTTGGGATCTAATTTCGAAAATGTATCAACTTTTTAAATCTTTTAAATACTTTTAAGTTACTAATCATTATAATTTACAATACTCTTAATAATAAGTCCAATAAAAAATCTAATTTCCTAATTTCTTTTTTCAAGACAATTGTTAGAATGTGATGCAATTAGTCAAAGGGAGAAAAAGGTGAAAGAAGGAAGTAACAGAAAAGTTATGTAAGATATGATTTAGTAATATTTTACCAACATACCAAACCTTATATACTGGATACGAAATGACATTTGGTATGATAGATAAATGAATATAATTTTGAGATAAATTTTTGTTTTTTGTAATTTCTTATATGATTACAAAAATTTACAATAAATGTCTCTCAAGGTTGATAATTAGTAGCGAGATTTGTTATCCCTTACTTTAATGAAATAATAATTCTAGTCAGTGCAAATAATAATTAGTAGCGAGATTTGTTATTCCTTACTTTGATAATTAGTAGCAGATTCGTAAACAAATAACGTAGTCAGTGCAATGCTGAATCTAGAAGTCAATATATATATATATATATATATTTTTTTAAAAAAAATTTAATATTGAATCTAGAAGTCAATAATATTTTATTTATTTTTCTATAGATAATAGTTAAAATTTTGTTTTGAAAAAGTTGGTATATATGATCTAGACTATGTGGTCAGAATGTGGTGACTGAGAGAGCTTAACAACATCCACATGGATTACAGGGGCAACTCCTTAAACGCACACCTCCAACAGAGTTCCAACGAAATCAATAATGGAGCTGCGTTGCTTGCAGACACTCAATATCCCTGCAACTGCTTTAGCAGAGAAGCCATTTTTGTGTGGACACCCAATTACATTGATTCAAACTAGCACTAAAAGGGGCCCAAATTCCAAAAACCTTAAGACCCTTCGTTTCAGAACTCAAATTTCAGGTAAATGCAATTTTCATTCATGGGTTCATACTCTGAAATTGGTCACACCCTTTTGGAGTCCTTTTCACATTTTAAAGAAAGAAATGAAAATGATAAAGAAGGATTAATGGGTTTATACCTGTTATTTAAGTGGAGAAGGGTAC